AAACTAACACCATTTCCCCTAAGAACAGGAACAAGACAGGGATGCCCACTCTCACCACTCCTGTTCGATATAATACTAGAAGTATTAGCCATTGCAATTAGACAAGAAGAAGAAATAAAAGGCATCCAAATTGGAAAAAAAGAAGTAAAACTGTCCTAATTTGCAGATGACAGGATATTATACATAAAAAACCCTAAAGACTCCATCAAAAAACTATTAGACTTAATAAATGAATTCGGCAATGTAGCAGGATACAAAATTAATGCCAAGAAATCTATGGCATTTTTATACACCAATAGTGAACTTCCAGAAAGAGAGACTAAAAAAACAATCCCATTTACCATCGCACCAAAAAAATTAAGCTACCTAGGAATAAACTTAACTAAGGAGGTAAAAGACCTCTACTCAGAAAACTATAGGACGTTGAAAAAAGAGATAGAGGAATACGTAAACAGATGGAAGAACATACCATGTTCTTGGATTGGTAGAATCAACATAATTAAAATGTCCATACTACCCAAAGCAATCTATAAATTCAATGCACTTCCCATTAAAATACCAACGGCATATTTCACAGGCCTAGAACGAACTCTCCAAAAATTCATCTGGAATAAAAAAAAGACCCCGAATAGCTGCAGCAATCCTGAGAAAGAACAAAGTAGGTGGGATCTCAATACCAGATATCAAGCTGTATTACAAAGCCACTGTTCTCAAAACTGCCTGGTGTTGGCACAAGAACAGACATATAGATCAATAGAATAGAATAGAGAGCCCAGAAATCGGCCCTAACCAATATGCTCAATTAATATTTGACAAAGGAGACAAGAACATACAATGGAGTCAAGACAGTCTCTTCAATAAAAGGTGTTGGGAAAATTGGACGGATACATGCAAGAAAATGAAACTAGACCACCAACTTACACCATACACAAAAATAAACTCAAAATGGATAAAGCTGATGGCTGTTTGCAGGCTGGCCACAGCCCCTTCAGGGTGGGGGTCCCAACTGGGGTGCCTGGCCAGCCTTGGTGAAGGGCTGAGGGCCGTTTTCAGGCTGTCCACACCCCCTTCAGGGTGGGGGGTCCTGCTGGGGTGCCTGGCCAGTCTGGGTGAGGGACTGATGGCTGTTTGCAGGCTGGCCAAGCCCCCCAATGGAGAACCTCACCCCATGAGGGTGTGGCCATCCTGGGTGAGGGGCTGATGGCTGTTTGCAGGCTGGCCAAGGCCCCCAACCACCCAAGCTCCCAGTGGAGGCTGGCTGGAAGCAAGTATCTGGGATTTACTTGTCTTCTATAATTGAAAATTTGTTGCCTTGAGCAGATGCCACAGCTGGCCAGGGCAGGCGGGAAGCTTGGCTTCCTCCATCGCCGGGGCAACCAAGCCTCCTGCTTGCTCCAGCTCCGTGGCTGCCGGCCACCATCTTGGTTGGGTTAATTTGCATATGGTCGCTCTGATTGGCTGGTGGGTGTGGCTTGGGGTGTAGGGGAGGTGCAGTCAATTTGCATGTTTCTCTTTTATTAGATTAGATTTGGAGGTCATATTGCACAAATCTCTGCCACATTGTATTGCTCATAGCAGTTACAAGTCCCCATCAAAGTTCAAATAGAGAGAACATAGCCCACAGACAAGGCTGTCTGGGTCGCAGGCCACTCCAGTGTGAGATGCCCCTCTGGTCGGGAGGATGGGGAGGCTCAAGGCTCATGGACCCCCATGGCTGCCTTAAAGGAGGACTGGCGGCCAGCAACTTGCCGCCCTCCCCACGGGGTGGAGGGCATCCTGTGAGCAGCAGGTGTTCCTGGGCTGTGGGTGTTAGGCCTTTAACCCAACTTCCCGTGATGAGGAAGCCCCACCACTCTGCGTGAGGAGCCAGGTAGCCCGGCCAGTGTGGCTCACTGGTCAGGTGACCTGGGGGGCGCAGTGTCTGGAAAGGTAGGGGGAGTGCCCAGGGGACCAGCCTGAAGTGGTTAGGAGGTGAACCAGGGCCTCGGGATCACCCGGAAGTGGTCAGGTCAGCCAGGGTTTGTTGGGACCGGATGACCAGCTGGAAGTGGTTACGTCATCCAAAGGGAGGGGCCAGGTGAACAGACGGAGGTGGTGATGTGACCCCTGGGTGGGCTGGGCCCAGGTGAACACCCGGAGGTGGTCAGGTCAGCAAGGGGGTGGGGCCCAGGGACCAGCTGGAGTGGTGACGTCGTTGAGGGGGAGGGGCCAAGTCAACCGCCAGAAGTGATGACGTGACCGCGGGGGTGGGCTGGGCCTGGGCCCAGGTGAAGGCCCGGAAGTGGTCAGGTCAGCAAGGAGGCGGGGCCCGGGGACCGGCGGGCCTGGGGACGTCATCGAGGGGAAGGAGCCAGGTGGATAGCCGGAAGTGGTGACCTGACCCCCTGGGTGGGCTGGGCCCAGGTGGACACCTGGAAGTGGTCAGGTGAGCCAGGGCTTGGGGCCCGCTCAACAGCTGGAGGTGGTCAGGTGGACAGGCTGGTGGGGCCAGGTGAGTGCGGAGGAGAGTCACAAGAGGACACAAAATCCCCACTGTCCTGTGGTCCCAGACTCTGGATGGCACCAAGGAGGTCCCCGTCCTCAAGGAAGGGCGTTCCCCGTGAATGAGGCAGAAAGCTGGCCCTCAGGACCCGGCCACCAGTAAGTGACTCTGGAGGGGCCAGGACACGGCTCCCAGAATGGAAAGGGTGTTACATAGGGGCTCTCGTGGTTCTTAGGCCTTCAGACTAGACTTACATCAGCTTTCCTCAGTTCCAGCTTGCCAATTGCAGCTCTTCAGCTTCTACAGTTGCATGAGCCAATTCCTGATAGTGAATGTATTTCTCTGTATACATTCTGTTGCTGTTGTTTCTTTGGAGAACCTCAACGAATACAGATGTGGGTACTGACTGGTTGGTAAACTAACGAATGTAAGATCACCTACTTGCTCTTAATGTCACTGGACAAAGTGAAGAAGAAAAGGATGAACTCGGGGGTTTGAATTCCAAGCTTATGTGCCCATAAATGATCTGAAAGCCTCTATGTGTGCTCTGAAGAATATCCTTATCTCCTCTAGCCACAGGGCTGAGATTGCTAAAAATCAAACCCAGAATCTTATCTTGTGACTGGCTGAATTACAGTGCAAGTTGAACTCCCAGCCTCACCAGGTGCTCACTGTTGAAGTGAGAGCATTGAATGGGGAAGGTACACCAGAAGTTAATGTGAGAATTAAATCAGGTAACTAACTGTGAAAAGCCTTTAGCAGAGTTTTTAGTATACAGTAAACACTCAATAAGCATTTTTGTGTCTGCGTTTCTATAAAATAGATGGCTTATTGTCAGCTCATCTCCACTCAGAAGGTGACTCTACTCACCATAGATTTCACTTCTCACTATCCCATCATCACAAAGAAAATGTAACACAGTCACCTCTCACTACAATACATAATCCTCAGGTTATGCATATTATGTGACTTACAAAATTTTAAAAGTCTAATAAATAAATTCAAAATGGTTATTGACTTTTAATTCCTCTCACTCAATTTTCTTTTTAAAATTTTGGCTGTGCAATTTATCCTACTATACCGCCTCAGTCCAGATCAAGGGAGAGTGTCCACGATCCTGATAGTCTTCAGTACAAATAACAGACAAGCCCACAGTCAGTAGCTTAAACAAATAAAGAAATTTATTGAATCTAATAAAAAAATCCAAAGGTTAAACAGCTATGAAAACAACATAATTAGAGCCCTCGTTCCACTCTCTGCAACTCCTTTGGCTGAGACCTTGTGTATTGGTTTTGTCCTCAGTCTGGCTGCTCTCATGGCCCCAATATATCCTCAGTCTTAAGACAAAACAACATCCAAAGGGAAAATCTCCCATATCTTTGTTTTCTAAGACAAGGAAAACTTCACCCCAAATTCCCAGATGTCTCTTTCAATCTCCATTATCTTCAGATGTCTCTGACATCTCATTGGCCAGAATGATGTCACATGTCCAAGCCTACACTAATCACTGGATGAAGAGAAAAGACCAATATGATTGGTCCACACCAATTAACACTCACCTGTGGGGGCTGGAGTTAAGTCTAGAATTCTCCAAGCACAGGGACCCAATTGGAGACTACTAGAAAGGAGGAAGGTTAGGCTACCAACAATATATGCAGCACAGATTTCAAAATCAATAAAACTTTCTACCAGAAGCAACAGAAGTCTGTGAAGAGCACATACGAAGAATGAGAGAAAAATACCCAGACATGGTTAAAACATGACAATGAAACAATAGAGTGGCAAGCCTTAGAGATAAAGAAAATCCAGAGACTGTTTAGGGCTGACAGGTCTAGAATTATTTGTGTATTAAATAAACTGTTGTCTTTTGTCTAACCACCATAGAAAGGGAATCTGATAGGGTGAAAATCACTGGGACTCACATATGCACTTAAATAGGAAAATAACAAGTCTTCCACATATTAATTTAAACCAAAGGGACTTCTGCAGGCCAGCAAAGGATACATGGAAGGAGGGAATAGCTTGGAGAATCAAAATGTCTGGACAAGACAGTTCAGGAGTCATCTTTGTCCATAGGTTATGAAATGTGGTTTCACCAGGAGAACACTCCCTCCAGATTTCATTTGATATGAAGATTACTAAGGAAAAGCAGGTGGGCAAACCATGCTTTTGGGCAATTCAATAGCCCTTGTTAGTAATGGATCTCATTTTTGTTCACTGTCCACCAAATGGACATGTTCTTCAATGTATGCTTGGCTCATCTTCATACCCATGGGTAGTAAATCTTTATTGTCTAAGATGTTATGGTGGTCTCATTTCCCATGCCTGTGATTGTTTTAGGCATGAACATGTGATAATTTTTGGCCCATAGACTATCAAGCAAAATAAAACAGAAATAATAGACCCACTCCTGGTCACATTCTGATGGACTCTCAGAACACTAAGAACAAACAGAAAATTGTAAAAAGCTTTCAAAGAAAGAAGGAAAAAAAAAACCCCAAAGGAGTAACAATCAGACTTCTCATTGGGGATGCATTTATTTTAAAGAAACAGAAATTGATGAGTCAGATTTGACTGATAACCAAACCAAAAGCTATTCTTAGAAAAGATCACTAAAATAGACAAGTATTTGGTGAGTCAAACTAAGAGGAAAAGGAGATAGCATGTAAATAAATAACAAAGTCACTTGATTAAATTCAATCCCATTCCTAATTGAAATTGTAATAAGAAATATATTTTAGGAATAAAAAGAAGCATCCTATTCTAAAAAAAAAATTAAAGTATCAACTGGAAATCTATAGCAAGCATTACACTTGCCAAAATAAAAAGACCAGAGCACTGAGGGAAAATAATTGTTAACATCAAATTCTATAGGAAGAGTTCAGATGACACTCTGATCCCTGCAAATTTTTCATGCAACTAAGTTGTGAAGAAACCAGGTCAGTTGGTAATCAACTTGTAAAGACACTACGTCATGGAATGACCCACAATCTGGATTTGTTTGACTGTCTTTTTGTAAGTGCCATTTAATTTGTTCTCTAGCCACCACATTAATAAGACATTTGATCTAAAGGCTTGATTAAGTTCAAATTCAACAGTGTTGTTAGAGGTAGTTCTGGGCACTCTACCTTACATCTCATCATGAAACACATAACATCAAATTGACCATTTTTAGAGATGCCAACTTTGATAGGAGAGTTCAGGTGGTGGCAATACCCAAGACATCCCTAACAGGGGTACAAAAGATTCCGTTTGCATTGAAATAGCAACATTTCCTGGTGCATATACACTAATATTCAATTTACAAAAATTCAAAGTACATACAAATTTGTCAAATACTTCAGAGGCACCCATGCCCTGGTCCTTTGATTTCGTCCAGTTTTCTTGCAGTTCATTCAAGATGTTTGTGAATATAGAGAAATCAGAAGGGCTCCTCTCCTCACCACATCCCTGCCTTATCCTCCTCCATCTCAGCCTCAGCGCTTGCTCAGAGCTGGCTTCTGGTTGGAGTGAGGTGTTGCCTGAAGAATTTCTGGATCTCTCCCCAGGCGTGCTCCTGGGCTGCAGCATGCGCAGGAGGGTCCCCTCCCCAGAGCAGGGGTTGAGAAATGGAATAATTATAGGAAACGGCAATGGGGTTATTAAGGGGAGCAGAAATGGGGTAAATACGGGATGCGTAGCACAGGGGTGCATAGGGCGGCTCTAGAAGGTGGCCTGCCCCTGGGTAGAGCAGCATCCTTCCATTGCTTCTCCCATGGCTCTTCAGCTGCTCCAGGGCCTGCTTAGCATATTCTTTGCTATTGACCGATTGGTCATCCTCTCCTATAATGAAGAGGATCTGACCCTGGGCCTTTTCAATAGGAAACACGCTCCGCTGATTCAGCTTCTCCCGGGGGTCCCCCCTATAGTGGAGGAGGCTCACAGCCCCTGAGACGTGCACCTGCATACGCTCCAGAAACGAGGGAATGGGTGACATAACCAGACTCCTGTACCTGAACGGAAAGTCATAGAGGGCAGTAGGCCCATTGATGCAGACGGTGGCGACCACCTGCTTCAGGAAGCAGGCCATGGCCAGCCCGATCTCTGCACCTTTGCTCACGGAAAGCACTCCGATGCCTGGCCCTCGGATCTGAAACACAAAATGAAGGGAACCCATGGCAGGCCATCCACTGAGAAGCCGGGCCACAGGCCACTAGCTAGTATGACGGGCATTAGCACAAGTGAGGAGGGAGTCCTGGCGCTCGGGGTCACCAGCTTTTACAACTTGAACACTACCCACCTCCCCTCTCTAAGCCTATTGTCTTGCGCGGGTGATAGTATTACCTACCTGCAGGATTGTTATTGAGGCTCAAGGGAAACAATAGAAATAAACACTCTTTATCAAAGGCAGAGTTCTATAAAAGCCCGAAGGATCTAATGCACCAGCAACAATCTACATCCTAAAAGCAGAGGCAGGGGAGCTTTCTGAAGAATCAAATTCTTCTCTCCAGCTAGGAGAAGAGGTTTCCTGGGTTCTTTCAACTATTATGTCAGTGTGGTTCCTATTTAAGTAGCATTTTACAGCTACAGAGGTTTTGACGTCCATTAACCCAAAGGCTAATCCTAATGAGAAAAGACTTGAATTCTACCGACAGGTGAATTTCAGGACCCCGTCCAACAGGAAAAGCAGTAGGTCAGAGGAGTGGGTCCTTCCTTCTGTTGTAGGCTGAGGGAGCAGAGGGGATGAAAGAGTCTGAGAGATAAGGGAGGAAAGGACCAGCATTCTGGGTAGACAACAGCAAAGACATAGCCACCTGGTAAGTTATTTTGCTCACAATTGTATTCCCAACACCCCTCTGTCATCACAATCACCTGATAAAACATTGAAGAGCCCATTGTAAATAAAAAGCAAGCACTTTTTAAAATATATATATTTTATTGAGTTTTTTACGGAGAGGAAGAGATAGGGATAGAGAGAAACAGCGATCAGCTGCCTCCTGCACACCTCCTACAGGGGATATGCCCACAACCAAGGTACATGCCCTTGACTGGAATGGAACCTGGGACCTTGCAGTCCGCAGGCCAACGCTCTATCCACTGAGCCAAACCGGTTAGGGCAAAGCAAGCACTTAAAAGGCATTAAGTCTTGGCTTTCTGCCCATTGAAAATAATCATAATATATCCACCCTTTTTTTTCTTGTCTTCTTCGTGCCAGTAAGCACTAAGCTGATCTCCAATCAATCCCACAGTCCCCTAAGGCAGATATGAGCATCAATCCTACAAGGTAGATAATAGCATTCCCATTTTAACTGTAAACTGTTGTACTATGACCAGGTTTAAACAGACTGGTAAAATGATCAGAACAGACATCTGTGATTTTTTTTTTGTCTTTTGCTATAAGGTTGCAAGGTAAAATGAAAAAAATTTTAAATACCTTGGGATGAGCTAGTAGCAAGTTGGCAGCTTCCTCAAAATATTCCAGGTCCACCTCCTGCAGTAGCTTGGGCAGGTCTTCATAGGCAAAGTATGCTAATGCCAGGACTGCAAAGCCGTGGGCAGCCAGCAGACTGGCTCGGAATTCAATTAGGCCCCCTATACCCCCAAACAAATCCACGATTCCTGGGAAAGGGCCGTCCCCTGAGAACAGCAAAGAGAGGAGAGAATGAGATTAGAAAGAGGCAGAAGAGGGTCCAGCAGAGAGCACAGGCGGTGCAAAATGAATTCCACCTTCACACACAAACACACAAGGGCAAGTTCGTTTTAACAGATCGTGGGACATACTAGTTCTCCGATACTTTGATGCCCTTTGATTTTGTCTTTATTTCCATCAACACTGTTTTCTCCACCACCGAAGACCAGTCTCACCTGGAGGGAGAAAAAGGGCTCCCCGCACGCGGCCTTCTCGGATGGGCACCCGCTGCGTCTCGGGGCTGCGGAACCAGCGCTGCACCACCTGGCTGGCCCGGGGCTGAGCCGTGGCTGAATCGTGGGAGCAAACTGAGTCGTATAAGTCCAGAGTGACCAAAAAGGGGCTGTTCACATCCCTCTTAAGCAGCCTCCCAAAAGGCCTGTCAGGCTTCATAGACCAGAAGAGGCCCATGGGATGGACCCCCACATAGTCGCCTCCAACTGCAGGAGCCTGCTTCAGGTCCAGCTCACCGGCCTCGTCAGCCCTGTAGAAGGCTTTGGACCGGTACAGGTGTCCCTTCTCATCCTTCAGAGATGCCGCGAGGGTCACCAGCTGCAACGGAGGCAGGCCTGTCGCTCGGATGTGCACGGGCTGGTCAGAAAGGGCACTGGCTGGGGTGGCTGTCAGCTGGAACATTGGCGACTGCCCTGCAGCAGAAGAGGAGGCTTTGCATTGGAGAAAATTCCAAGGGAAAAGTCCAGACCAGGCTTGTGTGAGGTCCAGCCAAGTTAGATTTCTGGAGACGGTACAAGGTCTGCTGAACATTTCGAGGAGGGCGAGGAAACTGGGCAGAGAGTGCCCCTTATTCTCGTTTAAATAGGAGGAAACAGGTTAAGTGACACGTCAAAGTCTCATAAATAATTAATAGTAGAACTGGAAATTCAAGCTGGGTCCGGCACCACAGTCTCCTGTCTTATCCATTATATAACAGTGTGTTAAATCTTAGTTGTGTGGTTTTAAGACAGTTGAGCTTTAATTCCTCAGTGGAGATAATACCCGTGGGACCAATTTCACAGGGTGTTTGTTGGAACCCAAAGGTGCATGAGGAAGGGCTTAGAGGACGACCAGTGCTGATTTTCTGCCCCCTGCCTACCTGGGCTACAGGCACATAAACACAAAATATACTGTGGTGTGTTTACTTTCTGTCTCTAAGCTCTCCCTGCCCTTGTAAATCTGACCTTCCGCTCTTTCACAGTTCCTATTATTGGTTCCTTTTAAGGGAAAATAAAATTTTATGATCTTGTCTCTATGTTTGTAGTAAAGAAACTATAATGTATATTTGATCAGCCATTTCTTACTCTGCTCAATTATGAGGAAAATTTGGGGTGTTCCTTTCTTATCTTCCTACCTTCCTTTTCTTCTTTCCTCCTTTCTTTCTCCCTTTCTCTCCTTCCTTCCTTTTTTCAAATCCTCATTTCTCAAAGGATTTGAACCTGTTTACAGACAAACAAATACAGAGTAAAATAAAAATAAAATAGGGACCTGGGAAAATATGAACTAGAATCAGAGGCATTGATAAGAGAAAACCTGGAGCATGAAAAGTAGAGCATTTTGTGGGCTGTGAGTTTGGCACTGAAGTCGTGAAAACCGAAGGAAAAACGGCAACCCAACCTGGTCAGCGTTGTTCTAATTATTCTCGTAGAAACAGTTACCACTTCCTCAGGGGGAAGAAAAGAGTGAGGTCTTCCCAAAATTTAGCTCTGAAAAAGAAAAATGATTCTATGAGACTCTGACATAGGTATGCAGTGTGGGGGTTTTTCCAATAATATCTTCTCACACATTGTAGCAGTAGGTGTCCCCTCAAAAAGTTTGATTCTCCAAGGGATCCTTAATTTTTTATGGGGGAATATGAATTCAAGACTTTCAGGGCTAGATTTGTGAGTAGAAAAGCCTTGAGAAAATAAACTGGCAGGGACAGAAAAGGTGCTCTTGGTGTCCAGTCCTTCACGGTGGAAAGAGAGTCATTGGAGGAAGGTGATGGTCAAGAGGAAAGTGCCTTTTTGCACTTTTTTTAAAGTGATTTTCTGCAAAGACCTCATTCCCTCCCAACCTGATCTCCTATCGATAACTGGCATTACTGGTCATGTTGTGTAAACCTAAAGTCTTGGACCAGTTGAGTTAATTGAATAATTGTGAATGTTTTCCCTCAATACCCGGAAAGTTCTTAACAGAAGAAGGTGGCATCAGTTCAGACTTTATGGGTCTTTCATTCATGTTAGTGAGATGGGACAATCATTTTAAAAATCCCATGTCCCATGTGGCATTTTGATGCTCTGTGGGTATTTTCTGATCTGATCCTTCCTGCAAGCTTCGGTATCTACTGTTTCCTTTGTCTCCCCCAAAAGAGATTGTAAAGAAGGGACCAGTGATTTCCCCTATTTTACAAATCCATTCCTAGGTCTTCTTGTTCTTTTCTTTCTCAAACTTCTATACAAAGTATTCACTCTAACAGATTTTATTTTCAAGTTGAATTAATTTGAATTGTTTTCGTACCCACTCTCCAGCAGGCATCCCGCCTCTGTTCTGATCCCCCCAAGTGGACTACAAACTCCTCAAGGACAGGAACAATAGGCTAAAACTTTAAGGATCCTATTGATACACATGTATCATACCATGTACATGCTTGGGAGCTATGAGATTCATAATATGCACGAAAATAATAACACCAGAAATGTAATAAAAGTACTCTACTTAAATAGTGCTTTTGTAATAATATAAGATGTTGAGATTTCTTCCCCAAGACCTGATTCCTCTTTATCTGAAAATTGCTCCCCAAAAGCCCAGAAAATAACGCTCAGTATCTATGTTTATACCACGTGACCTCAACCCTGAGGTCATTGTGATTGGATCAGGTACAGATACGTGATTCAAGACTTGCCAGGGGTGTTCTCCTCCCACCAATTTAGAATTGAAACTCAGAGATCACTGGTCACTCTATCAGGGTCAGGACAAAAGGTGAGGCAAAAGGGCACCTAGGTAGCAAAATGTATTGGCATCGCCAAGCCCCTCAAATTCTGAAAGTTTGGATCCCAGGAGCCTCTTGCCTCATCCTAGTCTTGGACTCTGTATGTGGCTAACTTCCCAGCATTCAGAAGCTATACCCAGGTAATCACAGAAAGCCTGTCTTGGGGTGGAGTGTGGGAGCTGAGGAGAGAGGGACAGAGACAGAATGAGATTGTTTTTATCTTGAGAAACCCCTGTTCCAGAACAGCACAGCACAGCACTTTGCACCTCACTCCCCCAGCCCTTCAGGGCAGAGCTGCAGGCTCTAGGACCATTTTGCTGCAGGGCAGAGCAGCTTCTCACCACAGGCTATGTCCCAGCTGTGTGGAAGTCATCTGGCTCCTTTTGTTTCAGAGCTGCCCTTTGGGGTGTGAGACAAGGACCCCGAGAGCTGGCACCTTTAGCTATGCTTGTAAGTAACAGGTTGTCTGAATCTAAACAGGGCTTATTATTTCTTTATCAGCTGCATCTCTCCGTTTTAGCCACATGCAGCTAATCAAATTTCAGTTCATTAAAAATAAAATTTAAAATGTAATGCCTCACTCACACCGCATTTTTACTGCTCAGTAGGCACAGTTAACTAGTGGCTACTGCCTTGGACAATGTAGATATAGACCATTTTCATCATTATAGAATAGTCTATTGGATAGCACTACTCTAGATGATAAATTATTCCTCAAGGGCAGGAATTATACCTTGTTCAACACTCTATTCCTTGATTCCCAAAATAGTGCCTGGCACATATTAATGGCTCAGTAAATGTTTGAGGAATTCAAATTTTTTAAATGATAGACTAGAGAGCAAAAAAATAAAATAAAATTGAGTGAAACTTCTCAGAGAGGATGAAGAAGAATAGAAACCCAGTTGAATTTTGATACACTACTACTAAAGTTGGGGGACTCCTCAAAGTCCAATATAAAATTGCCAGGCTTCCCCACTTCTTTGCAGCAGAAAGCAGAACCCTGCACACTGCAAAGTATGAATGATAGGAAGCAACAACACAGAGGCCAAGAAACCACAACTGAGCCGCCTCCCACGGGATTAGCCTTGTTGTTGGAGAGGGAGCCCTCAGCAATACGGATGCAACCTGATAGGGGCCGAGAGCTTAAGGCCACATTGTTGAGCTGGTTCCAGACCCCCACATTCCCAGGGGAAAATGGATCAAGTCTATGCCCGCCAGGAGAACTCAGAGGAAGCGCAGTTAAAAACTGGCCAAACACCAACACATGGGGTGAGCTGGAGGAGGGGGTGGGGGCAGGACACAAAAAAATAAAAGAGAGCCAAAGGTCACCCATAGGAGTTAACATGCCTAATCAAGAAACAACAATTTCATTTCCTTTAGGAGCCTAATGCCTTTCTTTCTTCATCAGGAGCACGTCCTCCCCCTCCTTCCAAGCAAAAAATCTAAAAACAATGTGTTGAGTCAAGAAACAATCTCTCCATAGATTCACATGAACTGGACCCTGAATTTTGCAGCCAAGTATTTCTGATCAATAACCCCCGAGGATGTGAATCGATGGGCCCTCTGAGAACTGTGCTACCTGCTGAGACGAGAGAAACACAGCACAATGAAAGCCGCCTTCCCAGGGACCATTTCTGTCCTGCCCTGATAGCCCTGCTTCCCCAAACACTCACCCTGAATTCCCCTGCAGGAAGCAATCGGGAGCAGAATGAGTGTTGAGCCGACTGCAAGCACGGAACACTTGCCTGTTGCCCTCTAACTTGTATTATTCACTCAAAACACGCTAATTTATATCGTTCAAAACACGCCAGCCTTCTGTTCAAAGGTCAAATTGTCTCCACAGAAACAGCAATCAGCACTTTCGCTTTAAGGCCCCAGTAGGCGGCGGGTCTGGGCAGAGGCTGTGTAGAAGTTTCCTATTTCATCACACAGCTCTGGTTTTCAGGCCTTGGCTCCACCTCTCAACTCCCAGCTCTAGTCTCCTTCGCTTCAGTTCCTTCTGGATCTTCTCCTCTAAGTCTGTGGCCTCTTAGGCAGCTGCCTTTTTGGTGGCTTTTAAAAAGATGAATCCCAAATACCCGTCTTCAGAGCAGTGTGGGTTTTAGACTCCCTGGAAATATTGGGGTGGGGTGGGGGGGGACACTTTGTAAAGTATGTGATTAAAGTATATGATAACCACTATGCAGTACACCTGAAACTAGTACAAAATATTAACTGCAAAATGTAATTTAAAAATAAAATTTAAAGTTCTTTAAAATATATGTATATAGCCCTGGGGGGGGGGGGGGCGCGTGCAGGGGGTCTTAGCTGGTTGGTGACATCCTATGCACCAAAAGGTTGCCAGTTCAATGTTGCGCTCTCACATCGGAGTGTCTCTCTCTATCTCTGGCCAGACCTGAAAAAATGTAGATTCCTCAGATACATATTTTAATTTCTAGAATAAACACACAAACACACACAAATATTTAATTAACCCAAAAGGAGACAGGTGATCTGAGTATTTTGGCTGTGTAACAAACCACCCCAAACGTAGAGATGTGCAACAGTAATTTATTTTGCTCATATATTCTGTGGGTCAGGAATTAGGACTGGACTCAGTGGGATCTGCTTGTCCCTATACCATGATGTCTGGTATCTGAACTGGAAGATCAAAGGCAGGGGGATAAAATCAGCAGAAGGCTTATTTTTTCATGCCTGGGAGTTGATGCTGGCTCACACCTGGGGGCGTCATTTCTCCTATATTGGGGTCTCAAAGTGGACTTACGGCATGGACTAGTTTGGGCTTCCTCACAGCTTGATCTGTGTTCCAAGGGCAAACCTCCTGAGAAAAAACCAAGTGGAGACTATATCCTTTTTTATCATAGATTTGGAGGTCATATTGCATAAATCTCTGGCACATTATATTGCTTGTAGCAGTTACAAGTCCCCATCAAAGTTCAAATAGAGAGAACATAGCCCACAGACAGGGCTGTCCGGGTCGCAGGCCACTCCAGTGTGAGATGTGCCTATGATCAGGACTCGCAGGGGTCCTCAAACTACGGCCCTCGGGCCACATGCAAATACAAATATTGTATTTGTTCCCGTTTTGTTTTTTTACTTCAAAATAAGATATGTGCAGTGTGCATAGGAATTTGTTCATAGTTTTTTTTTAAACTATAGTGCGGCCCTCCAACGGTCTGAGAGACAGTTAACTGGCCCCCTGTTTAAAAAGTTTGAGGACCCCTGGCAGGAGGATGGGGGTGGCCCGAGGCCCATGGACCCCCATGGCTGCCTTAAAGGAGGGCAGGCGGCCCCCGGCTTGCCGCCCTCCCTATGGGGTGGAGGGCATCCTGTGAGCAGCAGGTGTTCGTGGGCTGTGGGTGTTAGGCCTTTAACCCAACTTCCAGCGATGGGGAAGTCCCACCCCTCTGAGTGAGGAGCCAGGTAGCCCGGCCAGTGTGGCTCACTGGTCAGGTGACCCAGGAGGCACGGTGTCTGGAAAGGTAGGGGGAGTGCCTGTGGGACCAGCCTGAAGTGGTTAGGAGGTGAACCAGGGTATTGGGGTCACCCAGAAGTGGTCAGGTAGGCAAGGGGTTGGGGCGGGATGACCAGCTGGCTGGAAGTGGTGACGTCATCCAGGGGGGAGGGGCCAGGTGGATCGCCGGAAGTGGTGAAGTGACCGAAGGGGTGAGCTGGGCCCAGGTGAAGGCCCGGAGGGGGTCAGGGACCAGCTGGAAGTGGTGACATCGTCGAGGGGGCGGGGCAGGTCCACTGCCAGAAGTGATGAGGTGACAGTAGGGGTGGGCTGGGCCCAGGTGAAGGCCTGGAAGTGGTCAGGTCAGCAAAGGGGTGGGGCCCAGGTTCCAGCTGGAAGTGGCGACGTCATCGAGGGGCGGGGCCAGGTCTACAGCTGGAAGTGATGAAGTGCCAGCAGGGGTGGGCTGGGCTCAGGGAATCCTGGAAGTGGTCAGGTAAGGCAGGGCTCTGGCCAGGTCAACAGCTGTAGGTGGTCATGTGGACAGGCTGGTGGTGCCACGTGAATGCAGATGATGGTCACAAGCGGACACAAACATCCATAGACCCTTCCTCATATTGGGAGAAATATTAGTTATATTGTTTTCAAAAAAGCATGTGGACCCTAGCCAGTTTGCTCAGTGGATAGAGCATTGGCCTTTGAAGTGAAGGATCCTGGTTTGATTCCAGTGAAGGGCATCTATCTCTGATCGGGGGTGTGTGGAAGACAACGAATTGATATGTCTCTCTCACATTAGTGTTTCTCTCAATCTCTCCCTCTGCCTTCCACTCTCTATAAAAATCAATGGAAAAATATCCTTGGGTGGATTAAAAAATAAAAAAAATGTTTAAAAAAAAGCTTATGGGATGAAATACATTTGTATATGCACGTCTATTTGTTCAGCTGTCTTTGGGAAATATAATCTGCCACAATAGGAAAAGAGGAATAAAAGAATAAATAATAAAGGGTTATGTATATCAGTATAGGAAAAAAACAGTATATGTTATGGTATTGTCCATGGTTTCAGGCATCCTCTGGGGGTCTTGGGACATATCCCACTTAGATATGTTATTCTCTAGCCATATCTAAAGTCTGAACAAAAAATAATTCCTGATTAATCACATCCTCGTTTAACCATTTTGTCATTCAGAACCATTTGAGAAGTTTCTACAAATGAAGTACCCTAAGTGTACAAATACTCACTACCCTACTGGATATTCATAGGTACTCAAGGGCACTTTTGAAAAGTTATAGAAAAAAAAAGGGGGTTTGAAATAAACACTATCTCTTTTAAAGAGAACACCCATTTATAGAATCTGGTATATTTGTTACAGAAAAAGTCCCAGCACTTAATAATTGGCACATATTCTTTTTTTTTTTTCCATTTATAATACTTACACTAAGGAAATGACAAGGCAGAAAAACAAATTTCACCTTTAAAAAAATTAAAAACACAATTCAAGAAATCTACTTTAATTTCAATAGAGATTACTTCAGAATGAACAGAATCATTCTGTACTATTTGCAGTTGTGCAGGAAACCAAACAGTGAAACATCTTTCCATAACATCCTCCACAGACTTTTATATTTCTATCATACATGTCTAATCTCTTTCCTCAACTGTGTATATACTGCATATAATACTACCCTAGATTTAAGAGCAGTGACAATATGAAAACATTTTCTTGCCTATGAAGAATACAGCCACTTCTGAACACGCCATAGCCTTATATTTTAAACCCAAGTTAGTGTCTGGAGAAGAAAGTTTTCATAAATTATTCATGACCTGATTCTATTTTTTAAAGTTTCAGCAAATGTGAAAAAAAAAAAAAGAACATCTCGACATCTTGTTAATTGTCAATTCATGATGTTATGAGAAAACAAATGCGTTCTTCCACAGAACAAGTGGTTTTGGAAAACAGTTCTGATAGTATTTCAAAGTATCAAAAGGTCTGATAGGTGGCCTCCTTGTTGGGGGGCGGGGGGCGGGGAGATGATTACAATAATTTCAATTCCTCTTCTGAATTGCTCAGTAGCCCCACGTGATTTTTATATTGGGAGGCAGATTGCTGGCCACAAGGTCATCAAATTTAGATCCATCCTTAACAGGCACGTTATAGAACTCGAGAACATCCCTCACCCTGCACATCTCATGGAGCCTGGAGTTAGGCACTGCGTGGCCCAAGTCGTCAGCTAAACGTGCCAAGAAACTGAACTTCAGGCGCCCGTCTTCCAGGGAGATGTCCTGCCAATTGCTAGGAGCAGATGAGCCAAAAATGTCTTGGACGCTCGATTGCAAACGGCTCTGGAGATCTTCAGGAGGTACGTACGTTCGGCTGCGTAAGGGCGGGCACGCCAGGACGGGTTCTGTCTTCACCTCCTCTACCGCCTCAGCCACCACTGGCTTTTTCTGTTCTCTGCAATGATCAAAACCTAGTACGTGAATCTCTGGCTCAGTGCGTGAGCGAAGCTGACAAACACCGCACGTGGATGGGCCCCCCGCTCGCGGAGACCGGCGCTGAAGCCCAACTCGGAACCCTCACACACTAGCCAGGCGCAGGACCAGGGTCCCGTCTCAACAGCACGGCACTCCCTTTGGCATTCGTCCCTTCATCTTCCTCTGTGTCTTCCCTTACTTTCCATGACTCTGACCCACCACCTAAACTTTCGCTTTACCTGAATCGAGACCAAAATTCTCGACGTGGGACCCCTGCGATGATCCACGTGAGGCCTTTTTTCCAAACTCCGGGCACTGAGACAGCTGCCATCTCTGCGGAGAGCTACGCGACGGAGCTCCGCCCCCGGCCGGCAGTGACGCTCCAAGACTAGCCAATCGGGTGTAAGCTTAGTGACAGATGGTCTCCGTTCCTAGTAAGAGTCTCCTGCGGCCTGCTGGGAAGTGTAGTCCTGAGGAGGCTGGACCGCGACGCTCTCTCGGAGCATGACGGGAGTTGTAGTTCGGCGGAGTCCCGGGAAGGTTCCGGGTGACGCCTTCTGGTCCGGGGGCGGGCGGACGAAGCGCTCCAGGGCCGAGAGGAGGAGAAACTGACAACGGGGAGGAGGCTCTAGCGAGGCCTGGAAGGCTGTGCAACCGGGCAGGGGAGGGAGTTCTGGGTCTGGGGGCGGCCAAGGAGCGCTTCTGAAATGCTGCTGGGGTCGTGACCGCTCAGGGACCGAGCCGGGACCTGGCCAGATCCAGCCTGGAGGCCTCTCCCTGGTCGGGCCTAATCTCCTGCGGTCGGATAGGCCTCCTCGGAGACTCCTTTCCGTGCGCGCTCCAGGTTCCTGCCCGAATTTCTGGCCAGGAGATGGCCGCCCCGAGCTCCCCGCTGGACCCAAAGGTAAGTCGCCCCTCCGGGTTTCCCCGTTGTCTCAGCGCCACTCCAGCTAGGCCGCGCTCCCCCGCCCCCTGGTCCCCCGACCCGGCCTTTGGGGCCCGCCCAGTGCGGGGAAGTCTCATTCCCTGCTGCTCGGGGGTGCGGTTCGCGATGAAGCTGCCCCCTGGCTCCGTTTCATCGGGAGCGACCAGATAAATGAGCATAT